GCAAATAGTTTACACCACATGCAGTGCAGCGTCACCTTGTACAGCTGAAATTTGAGTAAGCGACTTAATCTCTGAACTCATTTAGGAGCTACATTTCTTAGGCGGTATTTTTTGATGGCTCAAAATATAAAAGTAAATGATATGGAGATATAGGGATTACAAATTAAAAATAAAAGTTTGTGAACTTATTTGATATTAAGGAAAATATTTTGCTTTTGTTTGGAATGTGAGGTAGAACTCCCCAGCATCAAATGACTTCTGCCTTTCCTATAAAATTGACAAATATTTTTTTGCTAAGGCTGACATAAGGAAGCACCACACACTGGATGGTTTAGACAACAGAAATCTATTGCTTCACAATTCTGAAGGCTGCAAATCCAAAATCAAGATTTCAACAGGATTGGTTTCTTCTGAGGACTGTGAGGGATAATCCATTCCAGGCCTCTCCCCTAAATCCTGATAGTTTTCTTGCAGTCTTCGGTGTTCTTTGGCATACAGAAGTCAGCACCCCAATCTCTGACTTTATCTACATGGAGTTCTTCCTGTGTGTTTGTCTTTCTCTTCACATGGTGTTATTTATAGAGACACCAGTAAGATTGGACTGGAGGTGTCTACCTTATTCTGTTATGTTTTCATTTTAACTAATTACATATACAACAGTCTTATTTCACATTCTGAGATACTGGGGATTAGGATTTCAACACAAAAACTTTAGGAGACTACAACTCAATACATAATGGTATTTAAATTATATAATAAAGAGAGTTGACATTCCAGGAGCATTGCCTTCTGTTAGAATTGAGTTGTTTTAGCTGTAGTTAAAGTTCCTGATTAAAGGCTACAGTATATAAGATAATCTTATTCCCACATGCTCTTATTCCTGAGGGAAGGAATAGTGGTGCTCTGGCTCCTAGTTGCTTGATCTCACATAAAAAGGTGCAGTCACTAAGCCACCAAAATATTATGTCTCCAACAGAGTGGTTCTGTATGTGTAAGCCTAGTGCCAGTCCCAACTTTGAATAATTATGTATGAGCCATCTTTCTTCAATGAATAATTGGTACTCTATAAATCTGACTAACTAGGTTGAAATTGAAATAAAAATGTGCATCTTAAGATAGCAACCATTTTCTCACCGCTAGAGTCTGAGTCACTGTCTAGGGATCTCAGCCAAATTATTACAGTGGGAGCAGAGGCAGGGACTGAGCCTCTTACCTGCTTTCAAGGTCCTTGTTCAGGTCAGGCACTTCCAGGCTTCCGCCTAACTTAGTCCGGGGAAACCATTCTCACTGCAAGGTGGTGAATGCTTGCTCAGCTTCAAAACCAAGAGCTCCTGGAAATGTGGGGAGTGTGTATAAGCCCGGAGGCTACTGGTAATTTTGATGTGGAAATCTGG